AACTGCCGAACTAGCAGTCAGCTGAAGTAGCCTGCAGTGCTGCACCCTAACCACTGTGCCACCTCGGCTCTTATAGGAGGGATTAACGTTGGAAGCCATCTAGAGTCCTTCCATCTCCCAGATAACACAGATAAGGACAGACGGGGTACCTTAATGATTCCTTGGCAGGTTGCTAAAGGAAGGCCGACTAAACTGGTCCCATTAATGGACATGATCTGGTCTCCGATGCTGAGCTTTCCTGAACGGGCGGCTGGCCCTCCATTCATCATGTTGGCCAGGATGACGGTGGGCAAAATGGAGCCCCAACCAGATTCCACCACCACCACACCAAGGATCTCCCCCTTGTGCTTGGCCAGCTGCAGCTGGAAGGCAAAAGAGCAGAGGGAAGGAATGCTTCTTTTTTAAAAAAAGATTTTTTTATTTTTGTTCTCTTATATATAGTTACAGGTACACATTCACATCGTAATTATTCTTATTTATCTTTCTCACTTTTACATATTTGTTTTTCCATATAAAAGATTTACATTCTGGGTGGCTTTGCTTACACCTATTTTGTATTATCACCACTCTATTTTTTCTTTTCTTTTCACCCTCCCTTCTCTACTTCCTTCCTCCTCTCCTTTCCCTTTCCTCCTTCCCTTGCCTCTCCCCTACTCCTCTCTTCATCTTCCCCCTCGTACCCTCTCTTCTTCTCTTTCTATCCCTTCCTCTCCTTTCCTCTTCCTTCCTCCTCTCCTTTCCCTTCTTCCCTTGACTCTCCCCTACTCCTCTCTTCCTCTTCCTCCTCCTCCTGCCCTCTCTCCTTCTCTTTCTATCCCTTCCTCTCATTTCCTCTCCTTCTCTCTTCCTTCCCCCTCTCCTTTCCCTTTCCTCCTTCCCTTGCCTCTGCCCTACTCTCTTCATCTTCCCCCTCGTACCCTCTCTTCTTCTCTTTCTATCCCTTCCCTCCTTCCTCTCCTTTCCTCTCCCTCCTCTCCTTTCCCTTTCCTTCTTCCCTTGCCTCTCCCCTACCCCTCTCTCCCTCTTCCCCTCCTGCCCTCTCTCCTTCTCTTTCTATCCCTTCCTCTCATTTCCTCTTCCTTCCTCCTCTCCTTTCCCTTCTTCCCTTGCCTCTCCCCTACTTCTCTCTTCCTCTTCCTCCACCTGCCCTCTCTCCTTCTCTTTCTATCCCTTCCCCTCCTTTCCTCTTCCTTCCTCCTCTCCTTTCCCTTCTTCCCTTGCCTCTCCCCTACTCCTCTCTTCCTCGTCCCCCTTCTACCCTCTCTCCTTCTCTTTCTATCCCTTCCCTCCTTCCTCTCCTTTCCTCTTCCTTCCTCCTCTCTTCCTTTCCTTTTCTGTTGTNGGAAAAGAAAATCCAGACGAAAAGAGTTACATCAGTTGACATTTATCTCGTAATGAACACATGGGTACTATTCCTTGGCGTATGGCTGCCACAAATCTTAATACTGCAGATGGCAAAAGATTCTGCATTCGGCCTCACCGTTTACATTCAGACATGTTGGCTCAGGAGAATCGAAGACAGACAGAACGATATTAAACATTTCGATATAAAAAAGTCGCAGTTAAGCATGGCTTTCCTAGAGTGAGCTGAAGTCCCAACGAAAGGGCGATATGGAAGGTGGTGGGACGAGAAAAAGAGGACCCTTATTATTTCCCTGGTTTTCCCGGACTTGCCAAAAAAAAACCCTCTAGGAACGGTATTCTCAGCGTTAAAAAGGTTTGGGTTCTCCCAAAAACAGAAATGTGTCTCATTGAAATAAATATCCCTCATTCGTATTGCAAAGATTCTTTCGCTTTTTGTTTTTGTTCTGTTTTCTTGGCAGGGATATTAAGAATTTCCCCCCCCAAAATGCGTTGTTATTGTAGGGTTTTTTTTCCATATCACTCACATTCACTCTGAAATCTTTCTACTTCACATACAAATCACGTCTCATCAAAAGTCACGTGACAATAAGGATACCAATGACAACAGCAGGGTATTTTTTTCCCCTCATTTGATAGCAATGGACATTCTCCCACCGCAAAACCTCCCTCCTGCGCCCCCCCACCCTTTGAAACCGCACCCCTTCTCAGTCATTGCAACAACCCCTCCCCGGCGCCCGCTGTGTTGGGAAGGTGCAGTCCAGCGGGAGCCTCCCCGCGGGGAAAGAGCCGCGTCGTTTCCGTAGGCGCGTTCACGCGTGCCTCGTGGCTGAAGGTGGCAGAGACGGACAGAAGACGATGGACATGCTGGAATCACCTTAAGAGTAAAGCATTCGAAGTACGTAGTAAGTGTTCTCTCTGCAGCCAGAAGGTTCAAACAGCCATGGGACTTGATCAGCTTCGTGGTGGACTTCATCCTGAGTCGTGAAGATGGAGGCTGCCGATCACGTGGCTGGGGAGATGATGTCTGTGGGTTATTGGCCATAACAAGAACGTCATCATCTCTTGGCGAGGTTTTTAAAGGAGAGGCGGAGGTAAACTAAGAAACAAATTCAACAGGAAAAAAGGCAAAGGAACTGGATCCACCGAGTGTCCAGCATATCCAGTTTTGGGTTCGAACCGTGCCCTTTTCCTACAAAATACAACATTTCTCTGGAAGTTGAAGCTGAGGCAGCAGGAGATGGTTTGCTGGAGGAGCAGCCGAGCTCCCCTTTTAGATGTAGAGGGGAGTTTCTTGACCGGTCAGCAGCCGGAACATGGCGGCAGGCATTGTCTTCATGTGAATCTGTTGGGAAGAGAATTGGGGGTGATGAGGAGGGACTGGAGGCTTCATTCTTCATGGTTGCTGTGGACCTTGGATGTGGCGGAGCTAACCATCAACAACCAAGGCAGAGATGGAAAATACGTCTTCCGAAAGCTATGGCCAGCCACAGTATACCTAACACCTAACGGTTATCATCCCCCTTCTGAAGTTCTGATTCCCAGGAGCTCAAGGCAGGCTATGCAGGCCAAAAAATGTAGGGGGAGCAGCTAGTTTCCCCCTGAGGAACCCAATGCTGACCTTGATGGACAGATACGGACAAAGGTGGAAAGACCATTTCCAAGGTTCTGAAGTATCACCCCTAAGTAGAGGACCCTTCTTAATGGGATCTTGGAGCTGTGGTGGTGCAGTGGTTAAAATGCAGGATTGCAGGCTGACTGCCCAGTGGCAGGAGTTCGATCCTGACCGGCTCAAGGTTGACTCAGCCTTCCATCCTTCCGAGGTGGGTAAAATGAGGACCCAGATTGTTGGGGGCAAGAGGCTGACTCTGTAAACCGCTTAGNGTGATTCTATATGGGTGGCCAAAGCTGCATAAGACTTCTGGCACAAACATCTGGACTGGAAGCATCTCCTTTTAAAGGGGGAGGAGCCAGTAACCCCACCTAAAGAACCAGATGTGAGCCTCCACGCCCCCCCTCCCTATATAGTAAAGGTAAAGGTTCCCCTCGCACACATGTGCTAGTCGTTCCTGACTCTAGGGGGCTCCCTGCAAGTCAAGTGAAGGCTCCATTTCATCTCCATTTCAAAGCCGAAGAGCCAGCGCTGCCCGAAGACGTCTCCGTGGTCAGGCGGCCGGCATGACTCAACACCGAAGGGGCACGGAATGCTGTTCCCTTCCCACCAAGGGTGGTTCCTATTTTTCTACTTGCATTTTTTTACGTGCTTTTGAACTGCTAGGCTGGCAGAAGCTGGGACAAGTACAGGAGCTCACTCCGTTACACGACACTAGGGATTCGAACCGCCCAAGTGCCAACCTTTCTGATCGACAAGCTAGGGATTCTCAATTTCCTTCAAATTGTAGCTTTCATTAGACAGTGCCTGTTGTGGCCCGGCAGGAGCTGTTTGAGCTGCCAGCAGACTCCGACAGCGAAGGGCCTTATGAGTTAGCACACAAGATAAGTGCTTTGTATTTCTATAAACCTGATTCATAGAGACTTTGGAAGAAGTGCTTTGCTTTCGTTTTGTTCAACTTGAGTTGCCGTAAGAGAGATTTTTTTGTATTCTGTTATCTGGTCAGAGACTGTATTTATGTTATTTTTGGGCTTGAAGCCAGTCTGAGCCGAGAACTGATAAAGAAAAGTCCTTTTAAGTTTGTCTGCCTGTCGTTTGTTAACGAGCCATGAAGTGGGGACAGAACAGAACCCAACTGTTCCTTGACTTACTCTACCCACTGGAAAGAAAGTGGAGAAGGCACCAGCTCTGACTATCACCCGGGTGCTCCCTGCAAGTCAAGTGAAGGCGCCAACGTTTGTGAGGACACCTAGTTTCTATGGCAGGCTACTATGGCTTCTCTTCCAGGATTTGTCCACAAGACAAGTATTGAGTTGCCCTCTTCTGTTGAGGAAAAGTTGCTTTCCCGGCCCAACTTTTCATACCCAGGACTGAAAGAATGAAGAGACTCACAATTCCATTCTGAACACTGAAACCCAGCTGGTATTTCAGATCCGGGCGCTTGATGAGGNCCCAGTGGCTAGAATGCAGCATTGCAGGCTGACTCTGCCCATAGTCTGGAGTTCGATCCTGACCGGCTCAAGGTTGACTCAGCCTTCCATCCTTCCGAGGTGGGTAAAATGAGGAGCCTGATTGTTGTTGGGGGCAAAAGGCTGACTCTGTAAACCACTTACAGAGCATTGTAAAGCATTGTAAAGCAGTATATAAGTCTAAGAGCTATTATTATTTTCCTTCATCTGCTCTGCCATCCTAACTATGGGGCAACTTGTCAAGTTTGGTTTAACCTTTCTGGTCCAGTTGCCTAGCCTGGAATGTACTGATGATAACAAGGGATCAAAAACACTTCTATCCCTATCACTGCTTTAAAAACAATGCTGGGAAGACTCACCTCTCCTACGGAGTTGGACAAGGCTTGGACAATCTTCTCATGAGCCGTAGCGACGACACTTTGACCGTTGATCTCGATAATGCGATGTCCTACCCGGACCCCTCCTCTCTCTGCAATCCCACCTCGCATCAAGCTGCAGATCTGGGCGGAGGAAAGGAGGGATGTTCAATGAAATGGAAAAGGGGCAATTTGGGCCGGAAGGGTTAGAAATAATAGGAAGGTCTTTTTTCTTCTTCTTAGCTATCACGCTACAGAAATTAGGCACTTCCCTTAGTTGATGGATTCAGTCTTCTGCCATCTATACTCACTTTTACCGCCGTCACCCCCTGCTTTCGGAAGGTGGACCAGGAGAGGACAAAAGCTACTCAACGTTAGGAAACTTAAGATGATCTCAATGGGCAAGGTCAACCCAACGTCGATAGGGAAGTTGTTGAAGCAGAGTTTATCTTAGGTTTCAACGTTCGCCAGGATGGTGCCTGAAGCCATGAAAGAGCCGAGGTGGCGCAGTGGTTAGAGTGCAGTACTGCAGGCCACTTCAGCTGACTGTTAGCTGCAGTTCGGCGGTTCAAATCTCACCGGCTCGGGGTTGACTCAGCCTTCCATCCTTCCGAGGTGGGTGAAATGAGGACCCAGACTGGGGGGGGGGGCAATATGCTGACTCTAT